GGGAGAGAGCACCTCCGGGGCCTTAACTCAGGGCAGAAGCGACAAGTGCAATGACGAAACGTGCGTGTCTGCCAACGAGCTTTGGGTTTGTCCTTTTCTTAAAGCTGTTTCCTTTCCCCCATGCAATTAGTTCTGTAATACAGAGTGGTAAAAATACCGCACTTCTCCAAGTTCCTTGCACCAGAATGTCTAAAGCAACCCAAGGCATCAGTGAGAATTGGGTGGTGCCTCTCGCAGCCATGCCAGCATGTAGGTCATGCCTGTGGTTTTCAGATTTGTAGCATAAATAGCTCCTGGTGCATCCATCACAGAGGTGCCTTGTTCTGTACGCAGATGTCCTGGGCGTTGTAAATGTTGCCTCATGTAAATTAAGAGGTTTTTCAGTTTACTGTGCCTATATGATTAGGCATCACTGTTGGGCAATAGCTTTCCGTACTCTATAGATATGCCAAACACGGACAGTGCCTTCATCCATAACAAGTTTCTCTCCTGAATTTGAGGTAGTGACTTGAAATGCTGGAAAGATTATATCTTGTAAGCCTACTGCTTACAATCTTTCTTAATAAACTTAATTGTTTTCCTTCTTGACCTTCCCCACCTCGCTTAGGGACATGCATTAATGTCTGTGGTGAGATTCTGGCATCGAAGCAAAACTCCACATTGCTGCAAGCTTCCCGTAACCGTGGCTTCTCCTCTGTATATCCTTATCTTCCCACTCTTGCAGATTCTCCTCTTTGCCTTTCTCATTGTAGGAAGAAAAATCAAGCAAGTTTTGCAGAGCTGGAGTGCTCTAGCAGTGTTACTGCTCTAGAAAGCTTCTAGATAAAACAATTTGAACAATAATATGCACAGATATGCTTTGCATTTGTACATAGCCACACAGGTTTTTTTTCTGTTGCGTAAATAATAAGAAAGGATTGTTGCTTCTTAGCTGTTTATTCATTGCTAATGAATCTCCTTTTCCTTAGGGCTAGATAGTAGAGCTGTACTGGTTTTGCATTTTTACTCCTGATAACAGCTGTAGTTGTCCTGGTTTTCCCTTCTGCCAGAACGGCTACATCAGCTTTCCTCTTAGGCAGCAGTATTTTCCCCTGGAGGCTGTTGAAGTGGCTCTGTCTGCTTGTGTCCAGATATCATAGAGTCCTATTTGCAGTGAAGAGCTTCTAGGGGTAAAGAAACAGCTGCAAATGTGTAGGAGCAAGCATTGTACAGCCAATAAATTTGCAAGAATTGCGCTAAACCTTTGTAGCACCGCATTTTAGCAATGGCTAGGTTAGAGTTCAACTGAAAACAAGCATAACTCGGTAAAGGCTTTTTGCAAATAACCCCTCTTGTTTGCAAGGCAGGTCAGTGGGGTCAGAACAAAAAAACATGGTATCCAGCCAGCACAGCAATGGAGTAAGGGCAATTAAAGTGTGAAGGAGACAGAAGGAAATATTTCACCATGCATTTTCCCCTCATAAGGCCTGGTTCTTTTACTTCGTGGCCTCCACAGGTAATTTCAGTGGCCCTCCTAGTTCAAATCTGGAGCTGAATTAGGGCAGCAGTCCACATCTGGGTTTATGAAATAAAAATGGAAGAGTCTGTAAAGCCAAAAGTGGTGGTGGAAAAGTTTCAAAGTTCAGAAAACCTAAGAATAGAAGAGACAAAGAGGAAGACCAGAAAGACTTTGCTTAACAATTAATTTATTTAAAATAGAACTGGCACTCCCAGCTTTGCCCTGCTGTCCTCTAGTCTCTCCCTCCTCAGGGTGCTCCGTTTTTCAGAGTTGAGCTGTTACATACATTTCCAGGGCCTGAAATCTGGGAATGTAAGATGAGCCATATTTTAAAAGCAGTAATCCATGTTAGGCGTGCATCTATGGGCTAAGGGAACCTGAGCAAAAATCTTTATTTTTTTTGTTGGTTTCAAAAGCAGAGGTTTAGCTGAGAACCAGTAAATAACCAGTGCTACTGGTACTCATAAAAGCATTTACTGCAATAAGTAAAGAATGCTTCGTTTACTAAAAGGGTACCAAGAAGTTCATGTTGTCAATGAATACAAAAACAGGTCTTGAGGGGGTTAGAGAGAGGAACAAAAGAGAAGATTTGACAATATAAATTCATTTTCCAAGCCAAAATGTGCTCTATGCTACTTTCTTTCAGTAAAAAGCTTAGACTTTAGTAACTTTAAATTAAAATATGTCCTCCTGGTATGAAGCACATGAAGTAAAAATAAAAAATAGGGTGACCTAGAGGCTGGGGAGCCATCTGCTTCCATCCTACTTCAGAATTGCAGGCCTGTGCTGTGAACTCTTCACATCATGCTTGTATGCTGAAATGGTATCTGAAGCGTGTTTCTCTTGCTCTTTCTAGGGAAATTCCAGTCCCTCCAATGCTGGAAGGAGAAGTCAGGGTAGCAGGGTAAGAAATAAATGTATGTTTAAACATTTATAGTCCCAAGCTCCAAGTTTCATGCCACTATTATATGATGCTATGCTGTAAAAGCCTTCAGTGTGATGCAGTAAAGGAATTGTTTTGTAGAAATGCATTGCTCTTGTTGTTGGGATATTACATAAAGTCCCTTCCCTCTCCTCTTTGCTGACAAGTTAGGTTTTATATACCAGGGGTCAGGAATCCTCTGGTCACGTACTCTAAGCATGTCTGGCTCAGGGCCACTTTGGAATGGAGGTGAGGACAGAGAGAGGGCGTCTCGAAAAAAAGCCTAGTATTACGTGTGTGCTAAGAAAGAAAACAGGAAATTCAGTCCTGGAAATTTAGTCTGGGAAGGAGATGAGAAGGCAAGTATTCCTGGGCCACCATGGCAGCTTGTCTGGCTGTAGATCAGAAGGCAGGATGCAAATCACACTGTGAATTTTGGGATTTTGCTTTGTTTTTCTTCCTGGTAGAGGCATGGCCAGTTGTAAAAGTTTTCTCTGAAGAGAAAAGGGCTAGTTCTACAAGCTACGTCTTGCACCACAGTCGTGGTATTTCTGCCACCAAATTGTAGGGTTGGGTCTTTGAGTCATGTTGTGCTTGGTTTTTCCCTCTCTCTTAGGAAGCTTCTCTTGTGTCACTTTGCAATTGTTGTTCAGAGGGACACAATGTGCAGAAAAAGCGTCTGGCTTTGCTAGGTCATCAGTTTTTATATGATGAAATCCTAAATGGTGTTGAAGTTTCTTGCAAGCAAACTGTTAACATTTACCTGTTTCTCTTCACTTGGCGTAGTGTAGTTCACTGAAAGCTTGTTCTATGGGAAGACATCTACTGGTGAAGACATCACTTTTCTTTCATCTGGTAACATCAGTAGAAGTAACAAGTGACTTATTTAAAAGCATGGAAAGATGTGGTGAGTGAAATGCAAATGCTTCAGGCATGGGGAAAAGGCATTCAGGTCAGTGGTGTCTGACAACTGTAGTGCTTCTTTGAGAGACAAGTCATTTGAGGTGAATATGAAAAGCTTGGGTGTTTGTACATGGTTCAAATTTCAGGCTCCGTATCTTTGAAGAGGAAAGTGTAGTTCCAGAGGTTGGGGAAACCTGATCCCTGATGGAGGTGCCTTCAGTGACAGGGTTGCTTTTTGGGACTGTTACTCACAAATCCCCTTATTGTGAAACTTGTCCCGCCAGCCCTTTTCTACAAGTTTCTCCAGAAAGAAGACTGACAGGATTAAGGGTATTCTTTATCAGAAGTTCCTTGTGCGTACTGTGGGTGTCATGTATCACTGCATAGCTGTAACAGAAAACAGGATATAGTTTTCCCTGTAAGTGTTCTGTACTGAGGATAAATGTAGGAGCAGCAGAAAGCTTGCTGCAGATGCTTGGACTACAGAGGCTGGCGTGGTGACATCCCTTGACTCTGTGAAGAGTTGTGCGTAATTCATGGCTGTGTAAGATCACCTGTCTAGCTGCTATTGACTGAATTACTACGTGGTGATGCAGAAATCTCTATCATCTTTCTTTCCCAGGCACGGCTGGTAAGAGATGCTACTTCCCATGCTGCTTCCTGCTCCAGCCTTGTTCCTACTGTCTTTGGGCAATGAGGAGGTGGAGGAGCGTTCATCGAGCAGTTTGCCTCCTGAAAGGCTGCAGGAGGGAGCCAGGGGCGGGGGGGAGTTGGTCCCAAGTGCAAAAGGGAGCGGGCCCTGTTTCTCTGGCCTCGTGGCCCTCCTGACACCGGATCTGGAGGCTGTGTTCAAATCATGCTGCAGTCTTGCTCCTTACAGTGGGTGTCACATGTGCATGGTGGAGCTTTCTTGAAGAAAACGCAGTGT